GGAAGAAAATTAACTCCATCCCAGCCGAAACCAGGACATCTGAATACTTAGAATTTTGTTTTTCAGCCTAACAGTAAATATCTAATACTTATAATTGAATATGAAAATACAATTTACACTCTATAAAGGCCCAAAAGGAAGGAGAAGTAAAAGAACTGAAGTTTGGGGGCTTTTTTAGTAGCCTTTTATTTTTTTTTAAAGAATTTTTGTGACCTCTCTGTTAAGAAGTCTGTACTTTTTAATGTTTTTTTGAGTTCTTGTATTTTAAAGCACTCCAACTCGAATAATGCTCATTACTCACCTGCAAATATGATTCTCTTCATATCGTAATATACCATGTTGACTATGAAGAAGCAGAGGAGGTAGCTTGGTTGTTTCAGTCATCACTCAAAACCATACGCTTTTTAAAACTTTTTCACACCCTTATTATGCATGCATGCTTTTCCGTCTAGGTGTCTCATACTCAGATGTCATTTTAAGCACTTCATAAAGTTTTGTTTTGTTTTGTTTTGTTTTAAATGATTGACAGTACCTGAAGCTCTGCAGTCCTTTGGAACTTGCTGCCTACATTCAAAAGGCATTTTTTTATTTTTATTTTAAATATTGATAAGGTGTTTTGGAACTCAAAAAGACCAGCTTTTAGCGACTCAATACCTTAGTTCACCTTTCTTTTTTTAACCTAATCCAAAATTTCCTTCATTTGGTTCTGGGGAAAAAAATGATGTGTTTGTGCTGAGTTTTTGAAACAGTTACTTTTTTTTTCATGTTGAGAAATAACTTTTTTTTAACCATATTTGAACTAAGGTAAAATTCAGGTGAGAAGAAAAGTGAATTCTACCTGTAGGTGTCAGATTTTTTGTAACTGAATCTTGTTTTTATTTAGAGATGGCAGATAACAGATATTTGTTCATAGATCACACAAGTATTTGAAATAATTATAAGGAATTGTGTTGAGAAAAGCTTTATATATGTAAAGTATATATCTGATACTTAAATAAATAAGTCTGCATATGGCAAGCCTTGTGGCCTTGCATCTTTATTTCTAACTTCTGTGTTTTGTAGTGTGATTTTTGTTTTTCTAATGGGAATTTCTTATGGGTTTTCTTAATGTACTCCGGAGGCAGCAGCTATAAAAATGGAAATTCATTATGATTCTCCATGCCTCTAAGCAAGAGATAGATCACATAGCAGGAGCCATCAATTTAACCAGTGGCAAAGATGGAGTTGCAGGGTTTTTTTTCTTCTCCTAACCTTACTGGGGGTTCATAGATTAAGTGCATCATGTTCTGCTTCTTGAATAAGCTGGCATCTTTGGGTTCGACCCATCAGGTTGGAAGGAGAGGAGAGGAGGAGCTCTGCTGTTCCCAGCCAGATTTGTGGCAGCTCTGTGCTCAGTGACTGTGACTGACGGAAAGGTTCAGTTAAGTTGTCAAAAGGAATAAAGATAATGAATTCTGTTTAGTTTGCATTCAAAGTTACCTACTGTTAGCATCTCTGTCTGGTTTTCATCTTAGAATATAATGTCAGCTTCATGTGGAGCTGGTGATTTTTTTTTTTTTTTGTAGTATGTACTTTTGAAAGTGGAAGATGAGCAGGAGAGAGCTTTTACATATGAAATAGCAGATACTGGTGGTTGTCCTCTTCAGAGTTGTCAGTCCTGTTCCTTGGTATATGTCAATCCAACAGGCTCTCTTAATGGACTCCATTTACAGTGATATTAATGTGTTACTTTCAACAATTGCTGCTAAATAATATCTTTGAAAAGCAGCACTTTGACAGCACTTTACTACTCCTTCCAACATATGCTGGATGAATATCTTAATTTACACTAAATTGCAAGACCAGTTTGCCAGATTTGGTCTTGCTATGTTCTTTTTTTTTCTTTTTTGCCTTCAAGCTAAAATGAAAAGTTTCCCATATCTTTGGGATGCTGATTAATGGCCAAAGAGATTGATGGGGTCATTTTTAAACCACCTTTTGTGCCTTCCTAAGTTTATGCACAGGTGAACATAGTGGTTGCATTACTGTGGCGTAATATGATCATGACCTAATCTGTGATTGTGCATGATTTTAGCCCATTGTAGCTGGGAATTGAAATGCATTAACTTAGTTCACATTAGGAAAATGGCAGTGTGGGTGTGTTCCAGGGTTACACTTCATGCTATCATTTAAAAGCTCCGGTCTGCTACCCATTTCTGTCAGTACATCCAGTCCTAGCAAGTACACCTATCACTAACAAAAGTAGCGAAGCATTTCCATGATCTAGCAAATAGCAGCTGTAGACCAACAAATGTTCCAGCAACAAAACTTTATAGTAAACATTGCCTTTGTCATCATGCGTAATAAAATTTACTTGTATCTACTGTCTGCCGTCCATTTAAGTCTGACTGTGTAACGGTGACAGTGCATGCAGTTCGTGTGGAATGAAAAGAACATTTTAAATATGTAAAACAAATGTATCTGCATCCATATCTACTAACAGACAAATACAGATGCATGTACTTTCACTCTCCTACCCTGTTTGGATAGGCTATAAAAAAGTTTATTTTTGTTTGTACTTGTTGGACCTGAAAATTAAAATATGAATCTTAGAAATATTTTCTCCACTCAGAAGTAAGATACTTGAGAGACAGATGCTGTTAGAATGTGATCAAAGCAAACAAAATTAGGAATGCTGGATTCCTGTCACCCCTCCCTCGATACCATTCTGCTTGGGAAATTAGCTGGTATAAAGCCAGGAGAAGCTGTTCCTATGCTATTCCAATTTGATCAATCTTTATCTGGTGCATGATTCCTCAGGGATTATAACAGTATGTCACAATTCAAAATACTTCAAGCTTCTTCCTTGCATTGAAAGAATGATGGCATCAGGATAATAACTTGTCTCAAAACTTTTTCTTCTCTCTTTCATGAGATTGTACTTTACTTCACCCACCCACCCCACCCCCCCCAAAAAAAACCCAAAAAAACCCCAAAAAAACCAAAACAAAACCATGTACAGAGAACAGTGGGTGTGTGTATATTTATATTCTATATACAAATCTGTTTTTTCTGGACAGATCATGCACAGATGATAACCCCTGGGTGAAACTGGGGACTGTTATGCTGCAGAGATGCCCAACTGAGGAAAAGGAGAACACAGGAAACGAAATTTTGAAAATCTGCCGTTCTCTGTATGAGACAAAGCACATGCTCCCTGTTGAGGTAAGTTTTAACTTTGGGTATCGTGGATATGAGTCTTGTTTTGGGACCCCAACTACAAGAAAGATGTTGCCATACTGGATCAAGTCTGATGGAGAGCTAACAAGATAATTAGGGGGCTGGAGCACAATAAATGCAGAGGGGCTGAGAGAATTGGGTTCACTCTCTCTTAAGAGATGGCTGAGGGAGATCGTATCGCTGTCTTTTAAATATGCGGATGAGGAAACATGTAGAGGAGATGGAACCAGCCTGTTCTCAGAGATGCTCAGTGATAAGACAAGAGGCAATAGAGACAAGTTACATCATCAAAAACTCTTGTTACATACAAGGTCAATGTTTTCTACCATTGAAGTGGTGAAACATTAGAATAGGTGGATGCCTAGAAAAGACATGGAGTCTCCATCCTTGGAGGTATTCATAACTCGACTGGATCATGTCATGAACAATTTGATCTCGTTGGACTTGCTTTGAGTGGGGACTAGTTGGATTAGCTGAGCTTTAGAGGTCTGTTCCAGTGTAAATTATTCTTTGAAGTATTTATAGAAAGGTTTTAATGGTGCATTGTCATTGATGTTAGTGTGGCAAAAGCTGTTAATTAAATAATCGGTTATTTTCTCACTAATAAATGCATAAAGATTTAGTGAGGAATCCTTGAAAAATGTGTTGGTGATTAAAAAAACTAATACACAAGTAATTGCTTTGTAGTAATCATGGTCGTACTTAACTATGTATGCATACTTCAATACAAGCATCTCAAGTATAAAATTATTGAAGTGTTTTGTACATAAACATTGTATACTAATGAAGACAGATTTGAGAAATGCTTAATAAACTTCGTACAGCTTTAGAGCAGTCTTGTGCATATTTTTAGTAGGCTGATTAATCCCTTATAATCATCTTCACGCAATCACAGTCTGTTATAGAAAACAGCTGATGTTAAGACTAGAAGCAGAATAGAAATAACACATTCTATTTAAAATGCAGACAGGTGGAGTGTGGTTTTTTTTAAAATAGTCAAACAGACTGATTTGAATCAAGTTCAAAATCTGTGTAAAACATGATTCTAGAAGGTGTCAGTAAGCTAAAATGATAAATACATTATTAATTCATTCATTCCACCAAAAATTTTGGTGGAAGGTGGGTCTCCCTATCTCTGGGACTGGCATAAGTATACGTAGCTTTTTCTTTACAAGGTGTTGCATGTCACGTCATAGCTTGTGAACTCATGATCTTACTCATGCACAGGAGTAGTCAAACTTTGTCAAAGTAGAATTTTCTAACTCACCTCAGTGAACCAGGAAGACAAATCCCACTGAGGGTCACTGTCGCACAGCAGTCAGTTCACCAAGAGTTCTCACGAATGGGTCATGGTTTGCTCAATTCTCTTAATTGAGTAAACTTTCTCTCGAATTCCTTAACAAGTCCTTATTTATATGCAGTTTTGGTATTGGTTGGCAGCTTTGGTTGGAGGTGCCTGCCTTTTTTAATGGTACAGGATGTTGCAAGAGCTCTCTGTGTAGGTGAGAATATACAGATACAGTATGAAGATATTCTGGTCCTCAAGCATAAAATAGCTTTACCAATGTAAAATACCTTTTTTATGACTAGAATGCTGTATAGCAACAGGAGTTGCACTGAAAAGTGTAACTGTACAGTTACTTACAAACACAGACTATATTGCTTTAAGTCTCTACTTGGGAAGAGGGGAAATGACATGGGTGAATTTAAGGAACTTGTATCCACGGCTACAGTACTTAAGTGCACAAATCAGAGAGTTGAGATTGCATGGCTGAGTAAGATGGAAATCTGATTACTGACAATTAACCTGTTTAGATGACTTCACATTTCAATAAATACATGATTAAGAAGATAGACCTAGAATGATGCAATTCTAAAAACTGAGAGATTAATCCATCACCATGAATAATATTTGCCATCCTGAAGTCCAAAAGTTGTGATGAAAAAAAATTTAACTTCAAGTTATGATGGTCTAGAAGTTAGAAAAACTGTTTCTTTGGATGTAATCGGAAAGGTTTGTTTCTTCTTTTATTCCACCTCCTGCTGGTCTTTCTAGTTTTTTACAGCCAATTTCTTTTTTAAATATCTTTTGGGGAGTTGCATAGCTTTAATCTTTTTATCTGTGTATGTGTGTGTGGGGAGGGTATTTTCATTATTCGGTGGATAGATTTTTCCATTCCTCTTAGCTGAAATAGGCATTGTTTTATTTGCTTGGAATGCACATGTGTTTGGACTGTCTGACATCTCCTGCACTGCCTGATTAATCTTTAGAAAGGAGCAAAAGCTTCTCCCCCAGTAAGCGTTAAAGTGTGACTCCTGTGAATACCTCATGTTTTTCTACCAACCTATGGGTCATGTGTCAGTTAACATAAACACCTAAATGCAGAATGCATCTAGTCTCTTACCTGCAATCACCCTGGGGTCCTAGTGGCCATAAGATGCTTATCTCTCAGAATAATATAGCAGCCAGTTGGTATCCTTCTTTCTATTTCTGTAGCTAGTTGTTCCCATTTTTTATGTATGAGTTTACATTGTGTGTTTTTCTCCATTCACAGTTGTCTCTGATCGTTTTGTTCGGATAATTTTGAATGTAAATGCTGCCCTTTGGTCTGCTTTCAGCCTCTCCAGACACAATACTGTTGTAGTCATTATCCAGCCCTTCAAGTCATCCATGAAAATACTGAATAATACTGGACCAAAAACAGACGCCTGTGAAATCCATTTTATATGCCTCACTGGTGTTACAGTGAAGCATTGATAGCTGCATAACTAGATAGAAGACAAAGGTTATCTTACAAAAGTTTCGGGTAAATCATGGTAATCCAGATTTTGATTTAGGACTTCCCTTGCTCCTCTCACAGGTAACATCGTACCCCCTCTAAGCGCAGCCTCTCACCGCAGGCAGGCAGACACTCCAGTGCTTTCGAGTGCTTATTGCAGAAAAGAAAGCCACTTGTGTTGCTCTGAGAAGCGCTGTGAATGATGGCTTGCTGCTTAGGGTTGGATTTCCAATTGCTGTCCAGAGCAGCAGTGCAGTCATTTGTGGCAGACGTATGAGAAGGTGTTTGTATGATTTGGACAGTCTGCTTGGCAGGTTGTCCAGTCCATGCATAAGGCATGGTATTTCGACAGTAAGTAAAATTAATTGTTGGAATGTATGCTTCTCCTTCAAGAGAGATGATGGATTTTGTAGGGAAGACTGGATATGTGTGCTAGACGTGTCATAATCAGGCACAAAGTTAATCAAGTCATCTGACTGGTACCTACCTGAAATCTAATGACATTTGGCTTCAAAATCTGCTAGTGAGAGATAAACAGAAGTTAATTAGATAGCTATGCATGTTTTTCTTATGTGGAGGCCTTTATGCCTCTGTGATGAACAAAGCAGATTGTGTTAGAACATGTCCCATTAGAATGTGTAACCAGTCCTAGAGTATAATTGTGAAGCATCTAAGAAGAAAAGAAAATGCTGGCATATCATCCGAGTTAAATGTTATTGCTTTGAAAATAGCATTGTTAATACCTGTATTACTGCATTTGCTTGCTGAGAGATAAAATTTTTCTTTATTTTAAAGTGGCTCATTGAGACAGCAAACTGATTCAACATCTGCATCTTTTCTCTCCCTGCCCTGTTGCTTTGAAAATGTACAGTACCTAGTTACATTTTACAGTTTCCTTAGTTTCCTTTTCTTCCTCTCACAACCCCAAAATATGATTTGAGTTTCTTTTAGAGAGCCTTTTTATAATATGGGTTATTTCTTATGACACTACTTCTCTGTTTAGTTTTGAGAGGCTTTCAGACAGAAAAAGCAAGCATGGTAAAATTGCTGTTTTGTTCAGGTTATGTCTCTTATGACTCTCAGAATTTATTTTTCTGAACATAAGCTGCATTTATTACCATGGATATACCTTTTCAAGAAACGGAGACATGTAGTGTGAATCTCTAACTTTGCATTCAGTAAGTTTGCTGGTATGGCAGGCATACTGCTCAAAAGAAATACAGTGCAATATGAAATTACCAGAAGTTTAATAAGCATACAACTGATCAGACAAAGCTTAATGTATTTACTTAATCTTCTTATTCCTTGATCCTACATCATATCCTTCACTGAAAACACCATCAGTAGCAGTACAGAATACAAGTTTAGAGGAGTAAGTCTGGGTAAGAGAACAAGCCTTGCCTCAGAGCTCAGTGTGATAGAATATATCCTTCTAGGCAGAAGGTATAAATTTAGGGAAGACTGAGCAAATGCAGCCAGAGCGCTCCCTGTGCCAGACAAGGCCAGGTGTCCCTGCAGGATGTTACGGTTGGAGCATTTAACATCTCTTCGTCTTCAAATAATTTTTAGGCTTTTAGGTTCACAGCTACTAATACTGTGCTGCTAAAAGTGCAGTTGCATTTTGGTCATCAAATTGTTACGCTTGTCATTATACTTCAAAAGATGTAAAAAATACATGATTTGTATTCTCTCAATATTTAGCTGATGAGCTCCTTCAACAATTGCTCTCTACATGTTGGAGTGAAACAGAGAGTACCTCTAAGAGTTGGATACCATATTCAAGGTGACTATCATACAATACCCAGAGCATTTAGTATAGGTTGTCCTGAAATATGGGACATCTTTGATGGGCCTCAATGGGAAGTGGTTGTGGCAAATGACCAAAATTCCTGGAAATGACAAAAAGGGAAAGGGAAGTTATAGTGTGATTTATAACATAATTTGTTATTTGAAATACTTTTTGATGTATAAATGAATAAATTGTGGCAATGTTGAGGAAAAACAAAACCACAAGTTATGTGTAGGAGATATTTAGTTATTTATTTTTAACTAAAGGCCAAGGTAAAGATTTGGAAATGCATGGTAGGTTTGTTGTTTGTTTGTTTGTTTTTAAGATATTTCTCTGTCCAGTTCCTTCTTAGAGAAGATTTATGATGCTAAATTTGTGCTATAATATCAAATATGAGAAATCAGATGAATGAGGGAAAGTTAATTCGCTAAGCTTTAATTATGTATAAAACTTTGTATAAAATTTGAAAATATTTTGCAACAGAACTTTATAATGTTGAACTCAGGTATTTACTGTTATTTCCTCTTTATTTTGTTCCACTTTTGTGATTGCATAGTTGAGTTACAGAAGCGTCACAGGTGTCTGTTAAGTTTCTTCCTGTGCTTTGCAGTATTTCAGTAGACACAAATATACTCGTCCCACAGAGAGCTGTGATTGCTCTGTTGTTCTTTCAGTAAAACTCCACATTGTAATGGGGATTCAGCACCTGCCTTGTCTTAACATAACAAATGTTGCACTTGTAACCCTGTATTTTACTTTTTTTTTAAATTTGTCCTTTCAAGTTTCCGAAGAGTGATTTCCAACAGGGAGTTCATTTGTTTTAAAAGTTTGTTTTCATTTTGCATTTGACATAAAATTTTCATAAATTTTTGTGTGAATGATGATGTTAGTATCTCCAGAGATCTCACCGAATCAGTTTACTTTTATTTTCAGTGTATAAAAGAATTATGTTCAGTGCTGCTTAACCAGTCCCTCCTGCTGCCGTCCCTGAAACTGCTGGTAGAAAGCAAAGATCAAGATCTTCACGCTGTGGCACTGCAGCAGATAACAGCTGTTGCTAAGGTATGAGCAGTTGAATTAACTACCTTTCAGAGTTTGCGGTAATAAATTAGCTCTTTTATCTTCATATAGTAAGCAGAGACTATTGAGACCCTTATCGTTATTAAGATTTTCCACAGCTATTGTATCCACAGTGAGCAGTAACTCAGGGCTGGTAAGATCTTTTATATATACTTGAGGTGATTAAAACTCATAGCACTTTCTTTAAGTTATCTAGTATGCTATATTAAGTCAGAGTGGTGGAACAGAAACTGTTCTGTTATATAAAGTAGATTGTTATCTCTGTGTTCATATTCTAGCACTGGGGTTTTTTAAGTGATAAAAGTACATCAGATGAGGTAGCTTGTTTCTGACAAACTTGGCAGTCTGTTCATATACACGTGGAGAGCTGTTTTTGTTGTAGGAAGGTTAAAATGCAAGGTGGTATGTTTGGGGACTTCCATGCAATTCTAAACAGGTTTTATTCGATACTGCAGCAAAGTTTCTGGAGGAAAAAAACCTAAATACTGTCTTTTTTTCTTTGGACAAGAACTGAAAGGCATTACTGTATATTTTTCAATTGTTATATAAAGTTACATTACTTCTTTTTTTTTTCCCCTGTGTATTTGATTTTCAGTTAAGAAGGAACACCTAAAAAGATGAAAGCTAGTCTCCTAGACAAAAGCATTATATTATCTTTTATCTTTTTTTCTGAAAACTGAGGTGGGTTTAAAATTTCTTCAAGCTCTTAATTGACCTTGTGCATGTACAACCTGACTTTCTTGGATTTTATGTTAGCTATGGTCTACAATATAGCACTCTACCACAACAGAGAAGGCAGCTATTGTCTCAAACCTTTATATGAAAGGGAATGGCTTTCCTGTCTGGCTGAATTAACTGCATTGAACGTTTCCAGAATTATAATATTTAGGTAGAAAAAAAAACATCTCTAATATTTCCACATTCTGCACCATATCTTATGGAGCTCTTGGTTGTGTATTACAATATAAAATAATAATCAATGGTAAATTTCCAGTATGCTACTTCAAAATGAAACTGCCCATATGGAAACAGAAATGGAACTGTGTATATCTTTTTAAAATAAGCATCCACAAAGCACAAAAGCTTTAAAAATGTGATTTGTAGGAATTCAGATTGAAATTAGAACTTTTTTTTTGAGATGCACGAAGTAAGCAAACATTCCCCTGTTTCTGCAGGAGCCTTCTAGGGCAGGCCCTCTGCTCTAGTTACATTAATTGTGACAATTTTTTCAGATTCCTTGGTTGCAACAAATGGTGCTAACAAAAGGTCCTATCCCCTACTTTCACACCATCCTCCCTTCCCTAAGAAAGATGTTCTGCATCCTGCTTTTCCCAAGATTCTCCCTTAAGTCTCTCCACTTGCTCCTCATGTGCTGTGTCTTTCCTCCTTATGTTGCACATTGTATTTTAGGAGCTTACTCTTTTTGCATTCATGAGATAGCTTGAGAAAGGATTTATCCACTTCCCCTTCAGGAGTACTCCAGAACTCAGCGGTGAAGACCAGGCAGAGAAGATCTGGAAGCGTAGGCTCCATCTCAGATGTTGCTAATTTTCCTTCAAAAGGCCTTAGTTACCAAAATGGATGAAGCACCAGGTTTTTTTAACCTGTTCTCTATGAATATTTAAAATGGTTGCATGGAAGGTGGCAGGGCATATGATACGTAATATACATCTGCTTGTATCAAAATTCCAATGTCATAGTTAGCATCCAGTATGAATTTGGAGTATTTCCTAGTTGAGTTTGGCATTCTAAGCAAAGAACCACAGTTTTTTATGAAGGTGTTCCTATTCCCTTTCCCTTATACAAATAAACCACAAATTTTCTGAATTTTCCACAAAATGTAACTTTGTAAATATTAACCACCAAAACAATAGTAGATTATCTTTAGTATATTGATAGTTTTCTTTTAGCACCTGTAATTTTAGATTTTGTGTCTGCAAAACAAGGGTTTTTTTGTAACTGTTTTTAAACAAGATGATCTCATGGAAAAGCAGTCGGGGATCTGATACATGCATGCACTTTCTCATCTATATGTTCTTGTTAACCTTTTAAAATTGACTTTTTTGTTAGCAGATGAAAGCTGCTGTGTAAGTGACTAGCTCTGAAGCTTGCCAGCAGGAATCTGTGTCTGAGTACATTTTATTTAACTATTTTTAAAGCACAGTGCTGTGCAGTAGCACTTTCTGAATTGCTGCTAATTGTGTTGCTCTCTTAACTGGCCTTTTCTTTCTAGTGTGCTATGGCTTTTAATTTTCTACACCCTACGCTGATTACATTGTATTGAAGTTTTAGGGCCAGGGACCATATTATCTTCTTACTAATATAAAGCACTTTGTACACCTGTGCATGCCTAAAATAATATTCTTTTGGGCCTTCTTATGCAGGAGGCAGCTTGATAAGCTGTTTCTGATTTTTCCTTCTAAATTCAGTATTCATTTGAGCACGTAGTTCTGTAAGAGCGCTGCATAACCTAGAATTTTCAAAGCATTTAGCTTTGGTCTAGTGTTTCGTCTTAAGTCAGTGCAAATTTAACTATTGACTTCATTACATCAAGCATAGAGTTTATCCAGTACCTTGAATGTGACATTCCACTGCCAGTGTTAGAAAAGCAACAGTACAGAAGTGCCATGCTAAATTTAAACGCTGTTCTTACATTGTTTACAAAGTATCTCTTACTTCTTGTTTTATATGCGTCTCTTATGATTACATTAGTTGGTGGTGTACTAAAAGTGCATATATTGCTTAGCTGTGTCGGTATTCTTTATTCAGTATTATTTTGTATTCATACTTTTTGCTTTTTAGAAACAGTATTTGGGCTGTTAATGCTTTTTGTAGAATTCTTAATGAATTTTTCACTTCTGCTTACATTAAATAGGAAAAGCACAAATAACATCTGGCAAAGGGAAATCATAGCTATTGACTCCCTGACATAGTGCTAACACAGCTCACAAACATGGCTGTGAGAAAAATACAGCACTTGCTTGCTGATACGATGTATTAGTTAGCCATTTGTTGTATGTTCCTGACAGCTTTATGGATGTTTACAGTTAAGGATGATGCTGAAATGCTGATACTAGGAATTGTATAGCTTTTGCCTGTAATAAAGCAACCAAGATTTTGTGTAAGCTTTTTTTGAAATTGGAGGCCTCTCTTTTTATTGTGTATCTTTTTATAACTGCCACTTGTCTTTTTTGGATAACAGAAATAACTGTTCATCCTCTGTGTTGTGTGGTGTGTGAATAATTTTAAAACTCAGTTTACATAAATAAGCTTATTACTGCCAGTAGGGCTCAGACTTTGCCCTTAAGAGTCAGATTGTTTTTGAGAATGGTTTCAGTGTTGTCTATTCACTTGGTTATCTTTTGAAGATTAAGACTGATTTTCATACTACTGACAGAGCAAGTAAATATTCCTGTTGGTAGTTACATTGTTTAAACAGCCAACAAATCGGAGTTAATATAATCAGTGCAAATACTTCTTCAACCAAGGTTTTAATAGAAACTAGAACTAGAAAATCTTTTTAGTTAATCTAAAATAATACCTTAGCTCAGTTTACTTACTATACTTTCAATGATGAAGTACTGAGACTACCTTTGCAACATGATTTATTGAAAAATGTAATATGAAAAATTATAAAGAATGTGTGAAATAATGGAATTTCCAGTTGTCTCCCGTGTTTATGCCATTTATAGCTACTCTCTTGGTGTGGCTTATCTTTTAAAAGAAATCTTGTTGAATTATGTGTATGTAAGCTAACAGACCTCTAGTTTAGTTTACTAGAATTTTTTAATATCACTTTGTTTTCTTCTCCTGTTATTTATTTTTCCCATAGCTACAGACTCCATTCAAGAATAAAATGAAAAGCTTTTTTACCTCCAGTAGTAGTGGAGAGCTAATACTCTGGGAAATAGCGGGTTCAGTTCTTTTCTGCTATTACATCAGCAGCAGCTCTTATCTTTCCATTAGTATCCATGTTTCATAATGGATGGATTTTATAATGTATAAGTTATGGTTCGAATATTGCCTATTGCTAATACCAGAACCTCTAGACACCTGCTCAAGCAGGGAATCGCCCAGACCATGACTTGCCCTTTAGTTAGGCAAAAGATACCAGCTGACCTGCTCTTGCTCGTTTGAAATTCTCACTACAGGACAGATTTTTTTTTTGTTGGTTGGTTTTTGGGTTTTTTTTTGTTTTCAGATACACTGCATCATAGCAAGTACAGGTGTAATGTCCACGTAGGCTGTATTAGAAACCAGAAAAAATACTGGATGCTGATATAAGATGTGTCCTTGGTCTTGGAGAGTGGATCCACAAAATGCTTGCATTACTGGTTACATGAATTTGTGGAGGCCTCAGTGATTTATCAGTGATGCCTTCTAGATGACTTAAGTTCCTCTTCTGAGTATATCAGAAGAGGTGCCACCTGTGGCAAAGCTGATCTTCACCTACCTATTTCACACAGAAGCTTTCTTAAAACTTGCAGGCTCCTTGTCTCTGCTTGCCCAGGGGACCCCCTGCCTCAGTAGAGCCGAGTGCCTCAAGCCTGAGCCCATTTGCAGTTTGTAACATTAGTGTGCTGATGGCAAAGCCTGAGGCAGGCGTGCTTAACCCTTACTAATTATGCGTTACTAAGTATGCACTGCCAGCACCGAGTTCAGCGTAAGACACAAACTGCCGTTCTGATTCAGAAATACAGCAGTCAGCGTAGGGGTGAATACAGGTTGTACAGCTGCTTCGTGTTTGGATCATTTGCCAAGGGCGTTAGGGAAATAGCTTGAATCCCGTGTCCTCTCTAAGAGCAGCACTTAGAAATCTGGGATAAGGCTCCTACCCCTC